TGAGAGTACATACCTGTGCACTAAACGTAAAGCACAGATTTTAGTATATTTATATTAGGTAAATGTATGGCTAATGTCGCCTTTTTAGCGCATTTCCACAAAAATAAAAAAAAATGCGCTATTGTGGCCACTTTGTCCGTCCGTCCGTCCGTCCGTCCGCTAAATTTGCGACGCTACTAGTTCTTTATCTTAAGAGCTATTGTTCTACTTTTTTCGCTATTTGGTTCGTTATGGTGTCGAGTCTTGTACCAAGGAAGGAATTTTTTCTGTACCGCTTACAAAAAAAGTTATTGTAAAAAAAACAAAAAACCGTTTTTTACATGTTCCATAATTTTACACTTTTGCCGTTTATTAACGATCCTAGAGATCGTTTATAATTTTGCATTGCTATCTGTCGTCTGCCTGTTGGTCTGTCCGTCTGTTCCTTTGTCTGTCTGTCCATCTATCTGTCCGTGTGAACGATAACTTTGTTTAGAAATGTTCGATCGCTTTTACATCTCCGTTAGTTATGAACTGAATTGCATGAAATTCAATATGGGCATAGCTTTAGCCATATAATACGCAATGCCAAAAGTTGAATCGAATCGATTCAAAATTCACAGTGCCCTTTTCGCATCTCGACCATTTATAAACCGAATTGCAAACTTTTTTACTTATAAAAGTATTTGAATGAAATTTGATACATAGGCACTTGGAATAAAGGAAAATCAAACGCCAATTTCAAAATTTGGTTTTGCGCATGCGCAGTGCCAACTTTTTTATTTATGGAAGAATTTAAACGAAATTTGATACATAGGCACTTGGGATAAAGGAAAATCAAACGCCAATTTCAAAATTTGGTTTTGCGCATGCGCAGTGCCAACTTTTTTATTTATGGAAGAATTTAAACGAAATTTGATACATAAGCACTTCGAATAAAGGAAAATCAAACGCCAATTTCAAAATTTGGTTTTGCGCATGCGCAGTGCCAACTTTTTTATTTATGGAAGAATTTAAACGAAATTTCATACATAGGCACTTGGGATAAAGGAAAATCAAACGCCAATTTCAAAATTTGGTTTTGCGCATGCGCAGTGCCAACTTTTTTATTTATGGAAGAATTTAAACGAAGTTTGATACATAGGCACTTGAGATAAAGGAAAATCAAACGCCAATTTCAAAATTTGGTTTTGCGCATGCGCAGTGCCAACTTTTTTATTTATGGAAGAATTTAAATGAAATTTGATACATATGCACTTGGAATAAAAGGAAAATCAAACGCCAATTTAAAAATNTTTAGCGCATTTCCACAAAAATTAAAAAAAATGCGCTATTGTGGCCACTTTGTCCGTCCGTCCGTCCGTCCGTCCGCTCGTTTTGCGACGCTACTAGTTCTTTATCTTAAGAGCTATTGTTCTACATTTTTCGCTATTTGGTTCGTTATGGTGTCGAGTCTTGTACCAAGGAAGGAATTTTTTCTGTACCGCTTACAAAAAAAAGTTATTGTAAAAAAAACAAAAAACCGTTTTTTACATGTTCCATAATTTTACACTTTTGCCGTTTATTAACGATCCTAGAGATCGTTTATAATTTTCATTGCTATCTGTCGCCTGCCGGTTGGTCTCTCCGTCTGTTCCTTTGTCTGTCTGTCCATCTATCTGTCCGTGTGAACGATAACTTTGTTTAGAAATGTTCGATCTCTTTTACATCTTCGTTAGTTATGAACTGAATTGCATGAAATTCAATATGGGCATAGATTTAGCCATATAATACGCAATGCCAAAAGTTGAATCGAATCGATTCAAAATTCACAGTGCCCTTTTCGCATCTCGACCATTTATAAACCGAATTGCAAACTTTTTTACTTATAAAAGTAATTGAATGAAATTTGATACATAGGCACTTGGAATAAAGGAAAATCAAACGCCAATTTCAAAATTTGGTTTTGCGCATGCGCAGTGCAAACTTTTTTATTTATGGAAGAATTTAAACGAAATTTGATACATAGGCACTTGGGATAAAGGAAAATCAAACGCCAGTTTCAAAATTTGGCTTTGCGCATGCGCAGTGCCACCTTTTTTATTTATGGAAGAATTTAAATGAAATGTGATACATAGGCACTTGGAATAAAGGAAAATCTAGCGCCAGTTTCAAAATTTTATTTTGCGCATGCGCAGTGCCAACTTTTTTATCTATGGAACCATTTAAGTGAAATTTGATACTTAGGCGCTTGGAACAAAGGAAAATCTAACATTAGTTTTAAAATTTAGGTTTGCGCATGCGCAGTTCCAACTTTTTTATTTAGAAAAGCATTGAAATGAAATTCTTCTCATAAACTGAAATTGAAGTAGCACGTCAAAAATGGATTGCCCATGTGCAACGCTATCTTTCATATTTGTGACCGGATTTTTACGATTTTAACAGAAGTTGCATCTTACAAATGGGAAATGAATGCAAGTGGAAATGCGCTTTATGTAAATCGTTTACGATTACTTTTTAACTTGTTCATTTTGTATGACGCGCGTGGTTGTTCCCCTCGTAGTCTAACATCCCACATTCCCACATAAAGTAAACCTTCGGTTCGACTATCTGTTTACCCAGTGAAATACATATTTTTTAGCAATCTTAATATTTAAACAAACACATTGGAAATGGGTTGCCTGAAAAAAGTGAATCAAGAGTACTGTTCATTTAAATTAATGTAGTTAATATTTCTGTGTGTTACTAATTTAGGTACTATTACACGGAGTGGCGTCCCTAAGTACAGAGACGTGGGAGAAATGAAACACGATGACCATACAAATTCAGTCGAGTTCTGTTCCATAATGAAGAAGACTCTCCCTATTCCTACTATTCACCCATAGCGTAGGTTCCCCTAGTCCTATTGTTCACCCATAGCATAGTGTAGGACTACAACATCTACTGTTCGCCCATAGCGTATAGATTCCTCCAGGTCCTATTGTTGACCCATAGCGTAGCACCTGTGCAATGTGCTGTCATGTTGAAGCGTCACCTCACAGTTAATAAAATGCCAAAAGTGTATCTGCTGTTTAGGGGAATTTTTTATGTCCCCTTATGTGATGGTTTCCGTCTGTTCCTTGTCTAGCTCAAGAACGAAAAGAGACGGCGATGTCAAACCTTAAGAGTCACGTTACCAAATGTGAGCCGATTTAAAATTCCCCTACTGAAAATCGCAAGCAATTCTTCGTATCTTATTTTATATTAAGGTAATTTACAAGGGGGCACAATTTTAATGTTTGCTCTATAGGCGCCATTTCAAGATGAGCTGTAAGTTGACTTGGTAAGATTAAAGATTTGTAAATGGAGGTTATTCAATCAGCAAATGAAGCTCTTCATCAGCAAATTTTTAAGTATATACCACTTACGATTTTACCAGACCCGGAGGTTGACATCACACATACACGTTATCAGAGATACAATCCTCTACTGACTACAACCTTATTTTAGATAGGATGCCTAAATTTTTTTTAATGTTGCAATAGCACTGCACAAAGTTACATGTAATTTATTTTGTGAAGATGTACACTAAATAAAGAAGTGTAGGAAACTGAATAATTCCAAAAATCATTTGGTGGACCAAAAAAATTAATAAAATCTATTTCAATTATCCCCACAAACAATTGAAAATTTTAACTCTACCCAGTCATTTTATATACTGCGCCTCCGTACATTCGTGGCGAAACATAAATGACTTCAATAAAAATAACCATATTCATAGCGTAATGAGTACAAGGAATGGTAACACTCTGAGCATACCCACTCACCGAACAACTCTTTATCAAAGAGGTTATTACTATAATTGCATCAAAGTGTTCAATGCTATACCAAAGGCAATAAAACAATCAAGAAATCTTCAATTATTTAAAAAAAATTAAAATTACATCTATTTGAAAAAAAGTTGGCGAGCTTGATGCAAATTAAACCGGACACAATAATAACCTATTTTCCTCAATGTATAACGTTTGTCCTTTTTATGTTTAAGTTTGTCTTTGTTTCTACATATTCTAGATTCATGACAATGCCAATGCAAGGGAATTTATTCATGGGAATAAACCATTATTATTATTATTCAAATAGTTGACACAACTTATCAATAATACAACATGCCAGTATAGGCAAGCCATGTAGTCAGAAGTTTACCTAATGCCGTAGAATTTTTTATACTATGCTAATCTTTGATTACCTATGCTTGAAAAGGGAATTTACAAAACAAATTATCTTAGACAAGAGGCTAAAAGGGATGTTTAAAAATTAATATTTTTTACTGAATACTGTTAATCTCAGACCTAGAATGGCATCAGATTTACTTGTGAGTGTGACGGTGTTTAAATAAAATATAAAATATTTAAACAATGTTTGTAATTACCTTTTCTATAAAATCTACATCCTTTAAAAAAATGTCTCTTTTCTTTCAGTCAAAAAGAGAAGCTGCTCGATATTGAATTTGAGATCACCGCTTTGGCAAGCAAGATCGACCTACTTCTACGAAAATTGGATACTCTCGAATATATAACTCGATCACAGTGAAATCAATTTCACTTTTTTGTTAAAAAAATGTTCCAAGTTTAGATAGCAGTTTATTGTTAAGAGTTACATACATCAAATCATGTATCTTTAGTTATAAAATCATTTAAAAGAAAATCAGTCAATATAATACTTACAAATAAAAGTTCCTAATTAATAATAATGGAAGGGGTTGGATCAACATTCTATTGAATATTTGCATAATCTGAACTGAATCTGTATAAACACGATTGTATGAAATTATTTAAAAATTTTAGGTACGTATCTTCTATGAGGAAAGAAACTTTTTAATCCTGCATATAATTACATAAAAAACGCTAATACAGTTAATTTTATATAACTAGCTACACATGGATGAGCATATGAAGATATCACAACAATCTTGTGGCTTGATTTTTCAATAATCACTGAAAACTAAGGTAGGTGATGTTTTAAACAAACTTTACAATTAACTCTGAAATTAATATTTTACATAATATTGCCACAGTGATGACAGATTTCATTACCTATCACAGTTCTACAATTCAGAATTTTAATATTTTTTAAAAAATAAATTGTATATTGTATCTTTGTTTAACCATATAAAATTAGGTATAGGAAAAGTAACTATAATTTGGATATAGCGCCTTCAAATAAATATATATTTACAAATTAAATTTGTTTTATTTACATAATCTGATTTTACAAGATACTTTTGTCAAACAATAATTTATAAAAACTAAAAATTAAAAAAATGACTAACAGTTGACATTACACTTGTAAAACCAGTATTACATCATCCTTTGCTATTCAATTTTTTTTATCGTAAATATCCAGATTTCTTCCTTACTATTACCAACTACATTTACACTTTATTTACAATTTTATGAAAAGTATATAAATAAACTTATCTGGATATGTTTGTGGAATAAACATATTGAACAATTTACCCTTAATTTAAATGCAATTTTACTACAACTTACTATGCCACAAGCACTCCTCCCAAGTCATACAAATTTGAAATTACAAATTCGTCTCTTGATAAGTACTTGTCTTACTAATGGACGGTCATAACAATTGTTTCAAGTGGCATCTCTATTTCAAACTTTTGTAATAAATTTTCAATGAAACAATGCAAACCAAAATTAATACAAACTGTTTAAAATTACCAGGACAATTCTACTTTTTCTCATCATCATTACCCGAAATTCGCTTTTCAAGTGAATCACATTCTGCCATTTCCTCCCCATTTTGTTGGTACAAGCTAGATTCTAAATTTGAATCAATACTATCGTAATACTCCTTTCCATTCTCGGGTGTAGTCCACAGAAAATTGTTTGCCGTTTGATATCGATGACTACTTGACGTTTCTATAGTTGCCGGTTGTGTCGATGCATTTAAATCCAGCGAATCGGGATATTGTTCAATTGAGTCCGAGTTAAATGAAGAGAGAATCCATGGAGATTGAAATTTTTCTCTTGCGCAGCTTGAATCGATCTGTAAGAATAACCCAGATTTTATTGAAGGACAATAATCAGTCACTTTTTGGATAAATGAAAATTAATTACCTTAATTGGTTTATTAGCTCTAATAATTTTTATTAATTGTTATTCACATGTATTAATTGCAAAATGAAAATAAACTAGCAAATTAGTCTCTTACAGGAAAAATTATACACAATTATTCGTGAACTTAGAACTTAATTTTTAAATAAAATGTGCAAGCTCAAGCAGATGGAGAAGCTAGTGCAAACATTATACTATACCTGAATAAATCGCAAATATACAAATAGCGTAATTGAAAGTTTAATTTAACTCAACTATTAGTGATCTATGGTATGTAGACAGAACCATTTGATAAGGAAAATCCGTTGGAAGATTTTGGTGGGCAAATTACAGGATTTTGAGGGATCGTAGTATGCCAAGGAATTGTTGGCGCCAAACAACAGACGCGTTGGCTAAGGTTAAAACGCCGCCCTCAGCTCCCCACTCACGCAAAATCACTTACATACGAAACATTAAATGATACCGTTTGATTTTAAAATGTGTTTGATTAGAACAGAAAAATCTACTACTATATCAGAAAACAAAAATCGATTGGTAAAATATTAATTGAATATACTGTACAAAGAGACAAAGGAATGTTGAGCTAAATGTCTATCTTACAATTCTTATAAGATCATGAGCATGGTCGCTTTAAATGTACAACTAGAATGGTTGATTGTCCTTGTATTATATTTGTGATTTATTAATTTCATCCAGACCAACATCATGCAATTGTAATGCTTTGGTAAATGGCGATATTTTGCATGGGCAAAGGAGAGAGGCTCAAATCTCATCAAAAATTTCTTCTCATACTGTATGTGCAAAATTCTGGGTTTGATCCTCCGTAAGTGTAGGGCTCACCGAGGAAACGTGACATATGACATGACGAGTGATGATGACAGCGGCATAAATTTCATCTTTAAAACATGTCTCAGTCATGTTCAGTTTGTGAGCGCCAACTCATATATTTATATTGGTTTCAGATGATGTGACATGTCACTAGTCACATTGCGCGTCATGTCATGACACCTCCGCGAGCACTCCGCCTTAGTGAAAAGGCATGTGAACCTACAGGAGAGACACAAATCACTTAAAATGGACAATTTCACCTTTGTTGTAGCCAAGCTTATGACAATACACAACAGTAAAGATTGATTCACATTATCGATTACGTTACGATCAGATCATGGTCCGGTCACGTTAAATCTCGTTTTAAATCAAGCATTATAGCTTGTATACCTTATGACCGATTCACATTATCGGTCAGTTCAAGGTCAGAACCTGTTCATAAGAAACACATGCTATTATACAATAATTGACCGCACCGTGATCGGACCATGGTCTGGCAGTGGTGTGACTAATAATGTGAATTGGCCTTAATGGCTCCAAAATTAGTTTTTGGAAATTTCAGATCCAAATTTTGACTGCTCGATGAAGTGTGGCCATACGTTAACCCATCTTGGGTATCTTAAAACGGTTGTGTAAACACCAATAATTTTTTTTAATATATAATTAGGCAAACTCTACAAATTCACTGAATATTACGAACAGATTAATTTTCTTATAATATGCGCGCGCGTTAGAATAATTTGAAATCTTACTATATTTCCACAACGTATATATTGTGCGCGGAGAGGTGGAGGATGCGGGTGGCTCTCAAAAGAAAATTTTATACCCTGAGCTTATTAGGAAGATTTTGTGATTTAGGTCACCTCCACCGCGTAATTTTTTACACATTTATATATTACATTTTGTGTATTCTGCTTCATATGGCGCCGTATGATGATGATATAGCAACTCCATTTTTTTTATATTTATTTTATTTTGCCTTTATTTTTGAGTGGGCGGGGTTTCAGCCAAAGGTAAAAGTGGTTATTTAGTTGCAATACTGGTACTAAAACAAAAACAAACAAAGGCAATACTTACTACTGTACTCCTCACTGCCCATTATATACTTAAGCAAAAAAGCAAAAGAAAATAGAAAACAAGCTTGACTTACTGCACATAAGGCGGCGAGGAGCAACTAATGGCTTAGGGGAGTTCCTACGACGGGCCGTTGTCGAGGATTTTCAGCCAGTTGCTCCAAAATGAGACTTTTGGGCGTACCTTGGCGTCCTGTGAATCCCGAATACTGTTCGCCCTTCTCACTGGAGCTGCAGGCTTTTTATGGGAGCTGTCCTTCTTTGTAGTGCGATTAGACGTCATGCTGTTATTTACAGGTGATTCGCGTAACTTTGACAGCGATTCAGCGCTCCTCAATTTACCAGTCAGGGAATCTCTCGTATTACTTAAGGATGTATTTCTGGACTTGGGAAGAGAAAAATTGCTTTTGCTGCCGGACAAGCTATTGCCTTCGCTTTTATTTCGTACAGATTGTGCAGAATGCGGCCTACCAGGTGATTCCCCACTATGACTACGTGCACCAGGTGCAGGACTATGTTTACCTCCAGGCGGTTTTGGTGCAGCGTAACTTTTCACCAACGGAATTTTACTAGGTTTCTTCTTCGTATCACTTCTGCGAACAACCTCTGCTTGGTCATGGGCAGATTCGGTACTACTGGAATGATCAAATGGCAAATTTAATGGAAGCGGACTCATCGCCTTCATGCTTGCGGTGATAATTTCGGAACGTGATCTATCTAAATTATCAGACGCAACAGATCCAAGGTTTGGTATCAGATCAGGAGAGGTGATCGCAGCTGTCGGCCTTTGTAGTTGTTCAAACAGTCGAACCCTTGCTCTAGTGCCTTCTAATTCTATGTTTCTATCTTCAAGCTATTTAAACATTCATAATTATTGCCAATTTTATGGTAAATGTAAGTTCACTAACCTGAAATTTTAAATCCTCATTTTCTTCTCTGGCCTTGTCTAGTTTCTCCACTAAATTAATTTCTAATTTTGCTGCCATGCTAAGTTGTTGTTGTAATACCTGCAAAGAGAAACGTCATTATTGTATTATGTAACTACTAGGTAAATTAGATCATTTTCTAACATGAAGCCACGAACGTTTTTTTGTTGGTGAAATACGCGAAAAAGAATTACCTTTTTTAATGGACATCGTCATCACGCTGCTATAAAAATTAGCGAAATAAACTTTATTTTTATTACTTTATTTCGCATTTTTTATCGCATACGCATTCATTGATAAAGAGTTATTTTCAGCTGGTTAAAATGAATTTTGGAAAAAAAGCTCAGACCCGTAAATTTTAGGTTTGAAGGCTACAGTTAACTTTATTTTTATTACTTAACTGTAGCCTTCAAACCTAAAATTTACGGGTCTCAGCTTTTTTCCAAAATTCATTTTAACCAACTGAAAATAACTCTTTATCAATGAATGCGTATGCGCTAAACTTTTACTCAATACCATAGAGACCAATGTCAATACTGAACAATAACGGCAAGAATTCGCAGTATGAACCTCCCCAATTCTTAAAATTTGCGGTGTGAAAAAGCATAATTTGTGAAATGGCGAATGAAACTTGGTATTACTGGTCTTACTAGAAACGTTTCATGTACCTAGATATAAATATAAGAGTTAAGTCAAGTTCATAGTAAAAAACATTTAAAGTTTCTATTGTCATTTCGCGCTTTATCTAAGTACAACTTTCCCAATCTTTCTTGTCAAAATTTACCTAAATTAAGTTTTGAATATACCAATACCACCTTATTTATTACCATTGAACTATATAGGGTGGTGACTTGCGTAACGCATCATAGCGATTATTGGCTCCCTATTTTAGAGCAAAAATGGATTAAGGTTTTTTGTAGAAAAAAAATTTTTACGCCGCTCAGCGGTAGGTATTAGTTTTCAATTTTGTTCATAATAAAGACGGAAAAATAAAACCCGCACCTTTTTCAATAATCTGTGATGCCATGGAATTTTATAATACAAAACCTATGCCAATATCCGTCATGCCATGGAATGTCTTCTATAAAACAAATCAAATTCTATCAAATAGTATATTAAGTATGGAGAACGGTAAGGGATTTTTACCGTTCGAAGACAATTGTTTGGAGGAGGAGCAAAGCGACGACTCCAATTATTGTCTGAGAACGGTAACCCTTAACGTTCGACGTGCTTATAACATTTTTTGCGCGATCGAAATTAAAATTATTCAACCAATATAAATATGAACTAAGAAATTAACGAGCAGAATAAATCGAAATGATCGAAGTGGTATGGTGTACATCACTAGGTAACCAGTTTATTTGTCAAAATTGAAATTAATAATTTCATAAAAATGTGCATGTGTCTGATGTAGTTTACTAGCTTTGCACTTCCTTTATGACTTTATGAGCGTCTTGCTATAGGAAACAACAGCACAAATTGTACGTTTAATGTACCTAACAATAATTAAAGATTAAATGTAATGTAAGACTGTTGATTTTTAAAAAGGCGTCGGTAAGTATTTTTGCTGTTCTGTTTTTAGATCGGTAAGTAATTTTGGCGTCGTCGTAATCATAGCAACTGGTAAATTCTACGTACTGTCATGGAAACACCCATGGTAAATAGTCAGAAATGACCGATCGCGCAAAAAAGTATTATATTTGGAACTCGATTTGGAACAGCGAATTCAACATAAAGAAGGGCAATATTGCCCAAATTACTAAAAACGGTTTTCTAATATAATAATTTACAATAAATGTTCAAATAAGTCACCATTAACTGCAAGACAGTAACCAAGTCGATCATAAAATCGATTTCGAACTGCTGCTAATTGATAATTGGATATTCTTCTTGAATTTTAATTCTTGACTCTTCTAAATTTTAATTCTTAACTCTTCTAAATTGTCTCTAAATAAAATATTTTGCGGGAAGTCGCGATCTTCATTATCTTTCCATAATTTCGAAAAAGAAAGCTACCCGTCTTTCACAATCGCCTTTACGTAGTTCTTGATAGCATTGAAATTTGTAGGACCGACATTTATTTATTATTCAGCAAAATGTACCTTTCATTTCAAGTTTTTGCAATATGTGCGTAATAGTAGTTTGACTTGGAATTGTCCTCCCTGGATATTTTACACTAAACAAAGCGCTAACCTGACGGGCACTATTTTCCGCGTAAACCATTTCACCATTTCAATTCTCTCGGATAATGAATACATTTTTATTTTTTAAACGAATTTACTATTACAAGCAATAAATGTGATATCAAAAATAACAGAAGGGTTACTTTTTGTTTTATAAAATTCCATGGCATCACAGATTAATCATTGAAAAAGATGCAGGTTTTATATTTTCAATTTTCCGTCTTTATTATGAAAAAAATTGAAAACTAAGACGGTTGATTGGCCTAAAAAATGTTTTTCTACAAAGAAAACTATACAGGCTGATTCAAATTCGAGGGCCACCATGGGGATCTCGGAACTGCAAGAGATGGGTAGGTAGTTTAAATGTGACAAAGTTGCGTATTTTGATGCTTAACAAAGTACAGTTTTGAAACTGAAAAAATGCCGACAACTTTCGGAGATATCCGGAAAAGAACGAAAATTTGCAAAATCGTTTTAATTTTTCACTGAAGTTATAATTATAGATATTTCGAAATAAATGACACATTAATTATGGCCACTTTTTTCGCTCTACAAGATGTTAGTTTTAAATTTTAAATCCGACGTTTCGTCTCCAGTTGACCACCATCAACTTTGTTTTTTCTTATGGAAGTAATTTTTACTTTTTCTGTCATTTGATAGAGAATTTTTTGTTGATTTGAAAAATCACAATTTTTAATATTGTTAAAATATCTTCTTTTTTGCCTAGAAAATTTTGGCTTGGGTAGTGTATGTATGTAGTTTCTTGCGTTTTTCCGAATTAATAGCACTATTTCTGATTAAAAGATAGTGATGTTTACATTTTTGAAATCAGAAAAAAATTCTCCATCAAATGACACAAAAGTAAAAATTACTTCCATAAGAAAAAACAAAGTTGATGTTGGTTGACTGGAGACAAAACGTCAAAATTAAAATTTTAAAGTACCATCTTATAGAGGGAAAAAAGTGGCCATAATAATGTGTCATTTATTTCGAAATATCTTTTTAAATAACTTTAGTAAAAAATAAAAACGAATTTGCAAAATTTCATTTTTGTAGTCATTTGTTTGTAGTTTCAAAACTGCATTTTGTTAAGCATCAAAATACGCAACTTTGCCAAATTTAAACTACCTACCTATCTCTCACAGTTCTTGAGATCCCCATGATGGCCCTCGAATTTGAATCAGCCTGTATGTATATGTACTTCAACGTTTATTACATATAGACAAAGCAAAAAAGGTAAGTTCCATATAACGAGTAGTCTAAGGAGCAACTGCAAGTCAACGAGTCAGTAAGAAAAATCATCATTGGCGTAACCAACGTGGAGGTAATAATTTCAAACCTATACATTGTGAAACATCACACATGAAGTGATCCAAGCTGCACCGAAGCTGATGAACTTTTATCTCTGAAGTAATTAATGCGTTATTAACAAAGACACACCTTGATATAACGAAGGCTGAAGCCGTATAAATCCACTAAGGGCCAGTATTTCCATCTCGGGATAAAGTCAAGTATAAGATATCTTCCAGGTAAACCGACAGTTAGCGTTCGGGTATTTCGAACCTCGTTTAAATATGATCGGCATGATAAGTTCTAGATAAAGTTATTGGGTAGATTTTCTGCAGTTATCAACATAACCCCAAGATATTGCATCAAATTTCTAGTAGACTGGTGACGTTTTAAAAATTTGCGAAATTACCAACCGTACCTATACTAAATAGGAAGAAAGAAATTGAAGTATGTAAGTAGAAGTACGCAAATACATACTATGTTTTCTTGAAGGATATAGGTAACCTAATTTAGATTCGAAATGGATCAAGATTTTCTTGACTTATTCGAATCCGATGACGAAGAATTGTTTGAGATGATCTATCGTTGACCTAATATGATAAGACCTCGAAATTAGCAGTTCTTTCCTTTCTACGTGGTGCATTTACATCACGATTTTGGTTCATGCTCAGAGTACTCATAAGTTAAAAGTTACTGAATTTCTTTCAAAAACAAAAGCATTCGTTCAAATTGTCGCATGTAGTAAGCTATCTTTCTCTAATATAAATAAAAATGCTTGGACGCCGACGTGCAGTATTGGACTGTAATAACAATTTGGGGTAGTATTCACATTTTACACTCAACTGGCGCTCATTTTAGCCAGTGTCAAAAAGAACGTCGAGAAATCGTTATTTTAAGATGGACAAAGTTTAAATAAACTGATTTAGCTGCAATTTCCATGGATGATGAAGAGCAAAAAAACCAAAAACGCAGGATGAAATGTGTTGACGACATTTATTTGAATATGCGAAAAACCGAAGGAGAATTTGTAGACTTGTAGACGATGAATGACAAGTGTTTCTAATTTAAATACCTACCTATAACATCCATTTGGACGTATTAGAGCCCCTTCTTACCACGCGTTTTTTGAAGCGGCTGGTATAGCGTGACCCTAGCACACGGTGCGATTTGCAACGCCACAAGTAGCACGAAGCGATTTTCAGAAGCGCCTTCACGCAACAAAAGCGCACGTACCAAGAAGGGGCGTCGTTTTTTTTAAAATGGTGTCTGGTTTGAGAAGAGTTGATTTACTTGTGTATCATTTACCTTAGTAAAGAGCGTACATATTTACTGATATTTTGTATTATATATACAGCTAAGTTTGTTATGTTTAAGATTGTTATTACTGATATGTGGGGGTTGTAGTTCGACCTTTGAAGGAAGGCGAAGCCGTATTAGGCTAAACACTTCATATTGTGTGGTAAAAACCATTGTAGCACGGTGTGACAAACTCCAAAATTATAACAGAAATTGTACAGAAGAGACTTGTAATAAATTTCAGTTCTTATAGTGCAGCGGAGAGCCGGCGCTAACTCGCTTATTTGAGGTAGTTTTTTTTTCGGAGTAGAA